GGTTTCTCCAATGTTCTCTAATAATTTGATGATGTCGGGTCGTATACTTAAGTCTTTAATCCATGTTGAGTGAATTTTTGTGTAAGGTGTAAGGTAGGGGTCTTGCTTCATGATTCTGCATGTGGAAATCCAGTTTTCCCAGCACCATTTATTGAATAGACTGTCCTTACTCCAGGGATTGGTTTTGTATCCTTGATCAAATATAAGTTGGCTGTAGATGTTTGGATTGATTTCTGGTGTTTCAATTCTGTTCCATTGGTCTATCCATCTGTTTCTGTACCAGTACCATGCTCAATCCCATCAAGGTGGCATGTACCAATGCCATCTCACTAGTCCCGGTGATCAATTTCTGTTCACAGTTGATCAGAATGACAGGACTAAGAGCCAAAGGGAGCACATAAACAAGACTAGTGTCTACAAATACTAGCTGATAGAATAAAAAAGGGAGAGAACGATCCAACATGGGAAGCAAGATACACAGCAGACCCATAGAATGGCAGATGTCCTAAACAGCACTCTGGCCTCAGATTCAGCCCTTAAGGCATGCAGATCTGGCTGAAAAGCCCATGAGAGTATTACAGGCATGGAAAGCCAAAACACTCTGGCAAAAACAAAAACAAAAACAAAAACAAAAACAAAAACAAAAAAAAAACCCAACCTACATGAAAGAACTCCGCGAGTGACATCCCAGTGAAAAGAACAGGAACAGGTCATCAAAGAAGGAGGTACCTTTCTCTGAAGGGAGGAGAGAACTTCCACTTTGACTACGACCTTGTCTAAATATGATCAGAGTTGGTGAACTCAAAAGGCTTCCATAGCCTTGGCAACTCATGACAAGAGCCTAGGTTGATTACTGATGCCATAAACAAGAGTGTCAGTTTGTTAAGTCAACAACAGGAGTCACTGTGCACTTACTCCTCGTGTAGGATCTCCGTCCATAATGTGCTGTACATTGTGATTTAATGCTGTAACTAGTACTCAAACAGTATTTTTCACTTTGTGTTTCTATGTGGGTGCAAACTGTTGAAATCTTTACTTAACATATGCTAAACTGATCTTCTGTATATAAAGAGAATTGAAAATGAATCTTGATGTGAATGGCAGGGGGGAGGGAGAGGGAAAGGGGAGGGTTGCGGGTGGGAGGGAAGTTACGGGGTGGTGGGGGGGAAGCCATTGTAATCCATAAGCTGTACTTTGGAAATTTATATTCATTAAATAAAAGTTAAAAAAAAAGAAACTTAAAAAAAAGATAACTGAATGGGGATGGAAATTGTAGATAGTATGCAGACTTGACTCTATACAACAGCAACGTCTGTTTGCCTTCTAGTTATATTTAGAGTCTCTTTTTTGAACTGTTTTAGGACTTTTATCTACTGAAATGTCTGTTCACAAAAGATAGCTCCACGTTTCCTCACAGCCATCAGGTTCTGATGAGCCATGGCCGTTATCCTTCTTCTTAGTTCTATTCACAGCAGTTACCGGGAGCCCACAAAGTTCAAGACGGTGTGCTGAGAAAATGCCAGAGTCTCCCAGACCTACTCCCTTCCCTCGTGGAGCTTATGTTTAATGGACTAGAAAGGCACATAGGAGTGATTTTTAACACAAGGTAGGATGTGCTAAGTGATACAACCAAGGAGGTGAGACGACAGTAGGGGACATCACTTCTAGGCTCCACAGGTCATGCACTCCAGCTTTTGGCTCAGAAATGTGATTGTTATGTGCACCTGAATTTCAGTTAGTAACGCTTAGAAGCTAAGAAATATAAGAAAAATAGGGTAACAGATCTTTTCCTCCTTAACTAGGGCTTTTGGTTCAGCTCTGAAGAGTCGTGTGACATCTCTTCTACTCAAGGTTGATTAAAGTTGGGGCAGGATCTGAGAGAGTGCACTTCTGTAACCTGGGCCCTACTCTGCAGCGTACTTCCTCCCTGTGGAGATCCAGGAACACCCCACAGGGCTGGCTTTCCTCGTAGAAAAGAACTTTTTCTCCCAAGTCCTTTCAGAGGTGCAGGGAGAGTCTCCAACAAGAGCTCTCTGCAGCCCAGAATGCAAGTTTAGAAAATGCAGCTGACTTCTCAGGGGGGGAAAACAAAACCTTGTCTTACTCTGGTCATGGAAACCAAGTTGGCACCTCATTATCGCCTCGTTAGTAAGGACAGGCTGTGTGGTGGACAGACCTGGTAGGAAGGGTTGGCCCCGTGTGGGCAGGGTTTTGAGTTAAGCTTAATTGCCCTTCTAAAGCTCAGTGGCTTAATACTACACAAGTCGAAATCCATCATCAGACATCCTGACCATCTGCCTTTTGTATCTTTGCCTATATAAACAGTTAGTGCCTTTGCATTCTGCTGCTGCCATGATTTGTTTTGGGCCATACTGAGACACCAAGGCTTAGCTGCACCCGATGCAGCTCTCCAGAGGAGGAAATGTTTGCAGCCCACCTTTCACCCCCAACTCCATCCCCAGTATGTTAACTTGCAATGAACCTGTTCTGCCCTTGGAGCACACAGTGCTGCTGGCTGGGTGAAGGTGCTACCTGTTTAACGACTTATTGCAAGTTTTTGCCTTTGCACACAAAGGAGGATGAGTAACGAGTCATTTTTATCTGGCTCTGAAATGTGTTTTGTGCTTGTATTGGAGTGTGGGTGTGCCTGGTGTTCTGGGAGCTCACTTCAAACAAAGCAGTGAGGCAGACCCTGGAGATGTGCTCCAAGAGAAGCTGTGTGCTTTAATTGCCTGCTGTGCTTTTACTTCTTTACAAAGCCTAGTGGGGGTTTGAATTCTATGCCCTCACCACTTTGCATTCACAACAGTGAATGCTCATTAAGTAGGTCACCTGTGTCTCTGAGCTGTAGGTTCTTGCCAAGCAAAATTGGGGTGAAAAATAACTTGACGCATCAGACTGCTGGAAACAGCAAATGAGGGGACATTAGGCTAAGCATTGGCCACACAGTAGTATGGCGGTAACTTCAAGCCATCTCACCGTCCTCTCCCCCACACTGCCTACCTCCTCCAGGGCAAAGCACCAATCAAAGCTGAAGCTCCTTGTCCTCAACATGCCTGCCAAGTGAGAGAAGTGTGGGGTGCGATTTCCATGTCTCCCTTTTTCTTGCCCACGCAGGCTGTCCCCCAAACGCTTGTTTGCTTCATTATCATTGGACTTTAACTGCTCAGAGCCTGTGACAGGGGACACTAAAGTGTCCCAGCTGTGCAACACTCCTAACCCCCTTCACATACAGCCAGATTGGCCGTGGCAGTCCCAACTTCAAATTTCACAGTCCCATTCTTCCCAGTCACACATCCTAGAATTCCATCCAGTTCTTCAGCCTCCCAAACATGTTTCCTGCTTACATTCACTTCCCACAAGGGGAATTTAAGCCCCATAAAATGTGGTCTTACTCAGGAGCCCTGACCGTGGTAACCACATATTCTAGATTCTCTGGGAAAGTCTGTCCTATGTCCACACCAGGTGTCCTGATTTTTGCTCCAGAAAACACCATAATCAACCAATATAGGTACCATGAAAGGTGCATATTGTTAGGAAAAGAGGCACAGAATAGAGAGAAGGCAGTGTATGAATTTACAGCCAGACCAAATTTATAAAGAGAAAATAAATTCGTGGAGGTGGGTGACCAACTGCCAGTGTGCACATTATGGAACACGTGGCAGAAGGCCCCGACCCTCAGGGGCTGGGGTGGGGGTAGAGGGCAACACGTGGAGGGGAATTCCTGGAACTGGTCTGTCAAGTGTTTCAGCAGGTGGCCGTGGAGGGTGGGAGTTGAAGGCATGTGTGAGACCCAATTGAGATTCAAGGGCAAGGAATAAATTCCAAGGTTTATCTATCTTTTGGGCAATGAGTGAGAGTGGCTAAAGCTTGTGTCTTTGTTTCATCACATATCAGACAGAATACACACACACAAACCACACACAATGCACAAGATTCTGGGAGAGCTGACCTGTGCCCCCCTTCTCAAATTTCCATTATTCACTTGCAGTTTCTTAGGTTATTCCTTATACTGGTCGGGTTTGAGAGCTGGGTTGGAGGGAGCATAATTCTTGTTGCTTTTGGATGTGAATTGAGGACAAAGATGAAAATGTGTTTGATGTAAAAATACACACAATTCACTCTGTTGTGCGATCTTGAAGTCTGCTTTTTAAAACTTAGTGTGGGAGCATATGGATTTTCTCATGCCATTAAAGTGATTTTTTTAAACCAGTGACTTTACCAAATTCAACATAGTGTTTACCACTGGCAGTAATGGGACTGGACTGTGTGTGGGGGTAAAGCAGGCATCCATGGTACATTTAGATTGTCAGAAGATTTTCCATCTTGGGCTTGGTTCTGGGTATACTTTTTAAATGTTACCTAATAAAGTAGAAGTGTGAATACCAATAGTAAATGGCCTCTTAAAATTTCACTATGCAGCTATATTGTAATTTACTCAGATCACATTCTATCCCTCTGCTACTGGATATTTGTAACTTTCAACTTTGAACTCTTAAATAAGGTAGTATCAAACATCTTTGGCATATGAAGCTTTGTCTTCATCTTAGCTCATTTTCTTAGGACAGATTTATAGGCTTCAATTACTGAGTCGAAGAGTAGGACTGTACTGAATGGCTATTTCGAGATTGCTTTTCAATATAGTGGTCTGAATTTAGACTATCATTGATATTGTGTCCACTCCACTTTATCCAACACTGAGTGCTGTTATTTTTCTTGATAATGCTATTTTGTTAAGCATCTGTTTTTAGTGGTTTAAGCTTGTATTTGTAGTTACCAGGGAAACTGAACAATCCATCACATAACGTTTCTATTAGATTGGGTTTTTGTCATGTATATGCGTGGGTAAGATATTTGCAGACTGCTTGTATGTGGCACCTGGGTGGGAGGGTCTTGGTTGTGTGTGTGTGTATTTTGGGGGGCCCACAGGTAAGCTTAATGAGCCCCTTGCCCCCCGCATTGGAAGCCGGCTGTGCATCAAGTCCTCTGTCTCCCTGCAGTGCCGCCAAGCTCCTGGACAAGAACCCGTTTTCGGCCAGTAACACGAACCCTCTGCTTCCTTCGCCTGCCAGTCTCCAACTGGCCCAGCTGCAAGCCCAGCTCACCCTCCACCGGCTAAAGCTGGCACAGACGGCTGTCACCACCAACACTGCGGCCGCCACGGTCCTGAACCAAGTCCTCTCTAAAGTGGCCATGTCCCAGCCTCTCTTCAACCAGCTGAGGCATCCGTCTGTCCTCAGTGCCCCCCACGGCCATACTGGGGTGCCCCAACATGCTCCGGCCATACCCAGTGCCCGGTTTCCCTCAAATGCCATTGCTTTTTCACCTCCCGGCCAGACACGAGGCCCGGGACCGTCTGTGAGCCTTCCCAGCCAGCCCCCCAGTGCCATGGTGATGCACCCTTTCAGTGGGGTGATGCCACAGACTGCTGCCCAGCCGGCAGTCATCCTGGGCATTGGGAAGACTGGGCCCACCCCGGCTACCACAGGATTCTACGAGTATGGCAAAGCTAATGCCGGCCAGGCATATGGCAGTGAGACGGACAGTCAGCCTGGCTTCTTGCCAGCCTCAGCCTCCACCTCGGGCACTGTGGCCTACGAAGGGCACTACAGCCACGCAGGGCAGGATGGCCAAGCTGCCTTTTCTAAAGACTTCTATGGACCCAACTCCCAAGGGGCACACGTGGCCGGTGGATTTCCAGCGGAGCAGGCCGGGGGCATGAAGGGTGAGGTAGGAGCACTGCTGCAGGGTGTGAACAGCCAGTGGGAGAGCCCTGCTGGGTTCTCTGGCCCAAGCAAGCCTGATCTTACAGCAGGGCCCAACCTGTGGCCACCACCCCCCAGCCAGCCCTATGAGCTGTACGACCCCGAGGAGCCCACCTCAGACAGGACCCCGCCTTCCTTTGGGGGTCGGCTTAATAACAGCAAACAGGGTTTCAGTGGGGCCCGGCGGCGGGCCAAGGAGGAGCAGGGGATGCTATCCCTGCGGCCCCTGCAGGCCCACGAGCTGAACGACTTTCACGGCGTGGCCCCCCTCCACTTGCCGCACATCTGTAGCATCTGCGACAAGAAGGTGTTTGACTTGAAGGTGAGTCGTCCAGGGCGGGCTGGGGGCTGCAGCTGGGAGCCCAGGTCGGCTTCCTCCGCCAGTCCAGCCCTCCCTGCTCGAAGGCTAGGAACTGTTATACCTAGGGACTGGGGGACAGAGTTAGCTGTCTGTCTCCTTGATTAAAATCTTAGGTATTAGAACCCAAAGAGATTTTAGAACTGAACCAGGGCCTGTCCCTTGCTTTAGGCGAGGAAGAGATTCCTTCCCCAGGAGGAAGCCGAGGCTTAGAGACCAAGGGACCCCACAGGAGCTGCAGAGAGGAGCTCAGGTGCTCCCCTGCCTCCTTGCAGCAGGGGTGAGGTGGGGTTGTGCCTAGAAGCTAGTGTTCTTTGAGAACAAGTGTTGCACCAAGTTTGAAGGGGAGAAGTCATCAGAATTGTGGCTCAGAGGCCAGAGAGTACTTCTCAAGTGGGACTTCCACACCTTGTTACAGGGCCTCAGTCCTCCCATCTGCACAATGAAGAGAGAGCTGTGTGTCTCCTTTCCCTGTGGTGGTAACATGCTTAGGGCCACTGCAAGCAAAGATCCATTCTTTATCATCCCCCCCACCCCAAATGTATTATACTGCAATGAACTATTCCAAAGCAATAAGAATTATAACAGCTAATATGCGAAACCCTATCTGTGTGCCAGTGGTAATCCTATGAGGTAGATTCTATTATTATTCTCATTTTATAGTTAGAAAACTGAGTCCCAGAAAGGTGAAATGACTTGACCGGGGCCTGCTAGGAGACAGTGGATGAACAGACATTCCAAAGTGGGCCTGGCTGCCCCAGAGGCTGTGCCTCCTAAGCCCCAGGCTGCCCTGCCTCCCATCCTCATCCTGTCCCCCGACGTGATGAAGTCCTTGCTTAGTTGGAGTCCTGCTGTAGCACGCCACCACCTCTGCTTAGTCACATAATTCATATGCATCCTAGGAACATGGGTGGATTGTACTGTCTCTCCTCCAGCCCTGGGGAGCACTGGGCAGGGTTGAGGATTTTTTTTTTTTTTTTTTTTTTTTTTTTGTCTCTCATAAGCCTTTTCTAAAGACTGGTAACTCACTGTGGGTCCATCTATGGGGTCTCCCAACTGGACACAAAAACAGGTGGGGTCTGTGCCAGAGAGGAGGAGTGGGAAGGTGAGTGGTGGCTACAAGAATCCACTGAGAGAGGCGGAGGGGTCGGACTTGCAGGTATGGGCTGCTGTCCAAGATGGGCGTGGGATGTAGAGGTGAGAGGTTGCTGGCGTGGGGACTGGGGAGGCAGGGGCAGAGGGAGGAGCCTGGGAGGGAGGGGATGGGAGGGAAGAGTTGGTCTGGAGCCTCTGGGCTGTCTGTGCCCCCCTCCTGGATGGTGACTCTGCCCTCGTTCCCTCCCGTCCCCGCCCCCCGACCCCAGCCACGACTCAGTCCCACTTTGGTCATTCTTCTTTCTTTCTGACCCAGGACTGGGAGCTGCATGTGAAAGGGAAGCTGCACGCGCAGAAACGCCTGGTCTTCTCTGAAAGGTAAGTGCCGTCCAGGAGACCGGCTCGTGCATTCACTCCGCAGTGCTCACCGCACGCCTGCTGTGTGTCTTGCTCTAGTCTGGGTGCTGGGAAACAGCAGAGAACAGAGCAAGCAAAGCCCCTGCCCTCAGGGAGCTTACCCTTCACCGGGGGCAGGGAGACAGACGCTGAACAAGAGGAACAAGTAAATTAGATAGCACTCCTAGTAGGGAACACTAGAAACGTTCTGCAGAGAACGCCACTGGGGTGGGAGTGGGAAATGAGTGTGTGTGTGTGTGCACGTATGCATGCATGCTTTGTATTTTAAATTGGGCATTTAGGAGAGGCCTCACTAAGGACCTCTGGGGAGAGGGCAGAAGGAGCCCTTGACAGTGTAGGGGAACACCTCCTGGCAAAGGGAACAGTGGGTTTGAAGGCCCCGCAGCTGGCATGGCCCTGAGATACCCAGGCAGCATACAGCATAACCAGGGCAGAACAAGGGAAGGGAGCCAGGGCAGGGCCATGGCCCACATCCTGAGCCCCTGGGGTTGTTGCAAAGACTTTCACTTTTGCTCTGAGAGTGGTTGGAGCCTTCAGAGTGATATTCCCAAGCTCTCCAGAGCAGGACCCTGGCTGCCTGCTGTGAACAGATGCTGGGAGGACAAGGGCAGACCCCCAGAGACCACAGAGCAGGTGGAGTAGAGGGTGTGTGGCCCAGGGATGGTGACCAGATGGCTGGGGTTAAGGGTTTGAAATGGGTGCATTCAGAAGGTCTTCCTTTATTAGTCATAACAACTCGAAGTGAAAGCAACCCGAATGCCCCTGGACAGATGAATGAGTAAACAAAATGCAGTCTATCCATACAATGGACAGTGACACAGTGCAATTCTGACACAGGCCGCAACATGAATGAACCTTGAGGACATCATGCTCAGGCAACTAAGCTGTCCAGAAAGGGACAAATACTGTGTGACTCTATTTACAGGAGGTGTTTTGAGCAGTGAGGCTCCTAGACCGAGAGCAGGATGGGTCGCTGAGGCAGGGAATTGGGAGTTTGTTTCATGGGTGCAGTCTCAGTTTTGTCCGAGCACAAGCTTGGGAGACCCTGGTGGCGATGGCTGCATCACTGTGTGAATGTTCTTAATCCCACTGAATTGCACACTTTGAAAATGACTAAGCTGCTAAATTTTATATCATGTGTGTTTAATGAGAACTTTTAAATAATTTTTAAGAAGGTCTCCCTTTTCTGGATCCCCCCTTTTTATTGGGGGTAAAATTCACATTAAGACTTGCCATTTTAACTGTTTTAGTGTTGATAGTCCAGTGGCATTTTGCACACTGAGAAGGTTATGTAAATATCATCACTATCTTGTTCCAGAATGTCTTCATCTCGCCCCAGAGGAATCCCGGGGCAGTCACTCCCATTCCTCTTCCCCAGCCCCGGCAATGACCCATCTGCCTCCTTTCTCTTTGGGTTTGCCTCTTCTGAACGTTTCTCTAATTAAAATCGTGCTTTATGTGTGGGTTTTTTGTGACTGCCTTTTTTACTTAGCATAATATTTTTAAAAAAATTTTTTAAAAATTGATTTGAGAGGTATAGTTACAGACAGAGAGAGGGAGAGTCAGAGAGAAAGGTCTTCCATGTGCTGGTTCACTCCCCAAATGGCTGCAACAGCAGGAGCTGAGCTTATCCGAAGCCAGGAGCCAGGAACTTCTTGCAGCACTTGGTCCATCTTCTACTACTTTCCCAGGCCATAGCAGACAGCTGGATTAGAAGAGGAGCAGCCATGGCTAGAACTGGTGCCCATATGCGATGCTGGCACTGCAGGTGGAGGCTTAGCCTACTATGCCACAACACCGGCCCCTTAGCATAATATTTTCAAGTTTCCTCCACCTGCTAGCATGGATGACCTTCCAGTGGATGAATAATAGCCCATCACATGTCTGTTACACGTGTTATTGGTCCATTCATTGTTTGGTGGACATCAGGGTTGCTTTACCTGTTGGCTTTTGGGAGTAACGAGGTAAGGAACCTTCAGGGACACATGTTTGTTTGAACAGCTATTTTCAAATCCTGGGTATGTATTCTTAGAAGTGGAATTTCTGGGTCATATGGTCATTCTTTTTTAACTTATCGAGGAATTGGTTTCTGTTTTTCCCCCTTGCAGTGCTGGGGTGCGGTGTCTACTTGGTTCTGCCGAGGGGACTCTGCGTGCCTCTCCCAACAGCACGGCTGTGTATAACCCTGCTGGAAACGAAGGTGAGCGAGGTCTGGCAGGTCAGCAGCTTCCCCCAGGCCATTATGTCCCACCTTTAGCAAGCAGGACTTGCCTGCCCTGCCCTGCTTACACTTTCATACTCCTGGGCGTTGCACCTGCCACCTGGGCCTGGGTCTTCTCTGAGATACTTTACACAGAAAGCTCTGCTGATGGTCAACATGGCTGGGGTGTCATCACACTGATCACGAAGAAAGCACTCAAAGGAAATGTTCCCGTTCCTCTTCCCACTGATGACCTGATGGCCTTGGGAGGTAACTACTAGGCTTCACCTGCTGTGTGTAATTTATCCTCAGACTATGCCTCAAATCTTGGGACATCATATGCGGCCATTCCAGCAAGGACATTTGCTCAGTCAACTCCCGCGTTTCCTGCAGCTTCCCCTGGGACGAATGTGAGTACAGAAAACATGGGTTTCCGCGTTGTGATTGTGGTCCTCAAAGCCTGCCACGTCTGGGCGTGGAGGCGCAGGAGAGGCTGGGGTGCAGCTGCTGTGGCTCCGAGCGTGTGTTGCTTGGAAGAACATCCCCTAGTCAGGTCAGGAGCTCTGCATTAGGCCCAGCTAGCATTGAGATGCACCAGTAAAAACGCTGACATGAATTCTTGAAGTCGAAGGCCCGCAGAGACCGTCTAGCATTCAACACTAGTTCGGGGGAACAAAAACTTTCAGCTTTTTAAAGGAACGTTTTGATGCTTTATTGAAGTGGACCATTTCCTAGGAGAGGGTAGATCTGCAACTTGAACCAGCACAAGAAAATGTGTTTGAAAGCAAGGACGGTGCACTGGTAGTATTTGCTGGCCCTCGGGGGAACGGTTGGTGCTGTGTGATGGCTTCCGTGTGTCCGGTTTTGATGGTGTTTTCTCTGCAACAGGCACTGCAGCCTCAGAGCCCTAGCTCCCCCCTCTCATTCCTGCCGCTGTGGCAGCTCCTTGCTGTCTGCGTTTGCCAGTTTCCCGGCTGCACGTCTTCCCTCTCCCCCACCAGCTGGGAAGGCTTCTCTTCTCTGGAGGCAGCAGGGGCCCTGGGAGACAAATCAACTGTGAAACAAAATGCATTTGGCAGGACCTGGCTAGAGGGCGCCTGTTAGTGTGTTTCTGCCCGTGCCTGTCTCGTTGAATTGTGATGTCAGCGGCTATGCCCCCACCCGTCTGTCTCTCTCTGTCTCTGTCTCTCTCTCTCTGTCTCTCTCTGTCTCTCTCTCTGTCTCTCCTCTCCCCTTCCCTCCTCTCCCCTCCCCCTCCTCTCCCCTCCCCTCTCCTTTCCTCCTCTCCCCTCTCTCTCCTCTCCTCTCTCCTCTCTCTCCTCTCCTCTTCTCTCTCCCCTCTCCCTCTCCCTCTCCCCTCTTCTCTCCCTCTCTCTCTTCCTCTCCTTTCCTCTCTTTCCCTCTTTTCGCTCTCACAACAAACACAAGCTGTGGAGAGCAGGCCTCCATGTGTAATTCCTCCCTGTGTTCAGAGTACTTGTGCTGAACAGGGAATGAGCCGGCCATGAAGTGTTAACTTGCAGGCGCTGCTGGGGAGTGAAGTTCATGTGTTTTGTTTTTATTTCCGTCTGTGCATTTGTGACGTCAGCTGGAGAAAAGTGCTTCAAGGGAGCAGCTGTCTGGAAGCCCACGTTTTGGTGAAAAAGATTTCGTGTTTTCTCTCTCTGCACTTCACCCACTCAGAGCACTGCCTGGGCCAGTGGTCAGGAGAGTCAGTGGACGGGTTTCCGTGAAGTCTGTCCCTTGTCCTTGAGGTCAGACCCCTGGTGACGTGACCCCGTGTCCTGATGGAGTTGGTGGAGTGTCCAATCCCAAGGCCATGGACGCACCTCTAAGACCCCGCCCCAGGCGCTGAGGGGGAGGGGACCAAGACTGAGTTGGACAAGCCTGGATTGGGTGGCAGGTGGCCCAGGGACCAGGGCTTGTTGATTCGTCCTGGGTTCTGGCATAGGAGAGAGAGTTGGTGTCAACTGAGCGTTCCGTAAAGGGGTGGGAAGGGACACAGGCAGAGCATCTGTGAGCTCTGGCCCAGGCCTCGGTGCTACCCGTGGAACCAGGGCCCTTTCTGTGAGCTTTGGAGCTCAGGGACCCAAGCTCAAGGGCCAGTTCTGGAGCCACCAGCTGCGTGCCTCAGGCAGGTCGTCGTCACTTTCCTTCTCTGAAGTGTTCCTTCCACGAGGAAGAGGACTCCCCTAGTAGTGCGAAGCTCAAACAAGGGACCTCCCCCCGCCCCAGGCTAATTTCTCTGTTCTCAAAGTCTCCTCTGCCAGGCTCCATTGAGTGCCCCGCCAGCTGCGTGTGCACAGGATACGTTTCTAGTGCTTTTTCTGCTTGAAAAATTCATGCTTGCTGTGAAAATCCAAGGAGTAAAGAAACACTCGAGGAGATGAGAACTCCGCTCCAGGGTCCCACGAGGGCTTCGGGGCGTTTCTGCTGCGGTGTCTTCTGCTCTTGCACCAGGGCCTTCCTGAGATTCCATTTACCTACCTCTCTTCAGAAACATTGTAAAAATTTTTAAAAAGATTGATTTATTTATTTGAAAGGCAGAGTTACAGACAGAGAGAGAAGGAGAGACGGAGAGAGAGGTATTCCATCTGCTGATGCACTCTTCAGAGAGCCACAGCAGCCAGGACTGAGCCAGGCTGAAACCAGGAGGCAGGAGTTTCATCTGGGTCTCCCATGTGGGCGCAGGAGCCCAAGCACGTGGGCCATCCTCTGCTGCTTTCCCAGGCACATTAGCAAGGAGCTGTATCAGAAGTGGAGCAGCTGGGACTGGAACCAGAGCCTCTATGGGGAGAGGCTTCAGGCTGAGGCGCTTAAGGATAAGGCTTAAACCCTCTGGGCCACAGTGCCAGCCCCCAGAAGCATTTTGTTGACTAAAACAAGGAGCATCCAGGACTCAGCCTGTTTGTGGAACAAACAACAGATGCTGCTCCCAAAGCTCCCTGTTTTTAAGTAGGAGAGCAAAGCAATGTGGGGCACCCGCATTACACACCAGCTCCCTGCACACTGCAGACTTGTATAACAAAGGCAGTGAACCTCAAAGAAGCAAATGTTTCTGCCAGACTGGAAGTCATAGGTTGCCCCTCAGACTGCTGGCTGCGTCTAGGGCATCTGTCTGTCTGTCCTGGCTCAGACAGTCTGTTTTCCTGACTTCTATAGGCGTGGGGAGCAGTCACTAATGTGGTGCACGCTCCCTGTCTCTCCTGCATTTTCCAAGCAGGGATAGAGGAGAGACAGGAGAACTGGGTAGGTTTTATTTTCTGGACTTTCTTCTTCTTTTTTTCCTTTTTTTTTTTTTAAAAAAAAAAAAAGATTTATTTATTTGAAAGGCAGAGTGAGAGTGACAGAGAGACAGAAAGAAAAAGATTTGGGGTGCTGGGGCATAGCAAGTAAAGCTGCCGCCTGCAGTGCTGGCATCCCACATGGGTGCTGTTCCACTTCCGATGTTCTCTGCTATGGCCTGGGAAAGCAATAGAAGATGGCCCAAAGTGCTGGGCCCCTGTGGGAGACCTGGAAGAAGCTCCAGGCTCCTGGCTTTAGATCGACCTAGCTCCAGCCTTTATGGCCATTAGGGAGTGAACCAGTGGATGGAAAAATCTCTCTCTCTCTCTCTCTTTGCCTCTGCCTTTGTAACTCCACCTTTCACATAAATAAATAAATAAATAAATAAATCTTTAAAAAGAGAGAAAGAGATCTTCCATTTGCTGGTTCATTTTCCATGTGACTGGAGTAGTTGGGACTGGGCTAGGCCAAACCCAGGATCCTGGAACCCCATCCTGGTTTCCCACGTGGGTGGCATGGGTCAGAGTGCCTGGGTCATCTTCTGTGGCTTTCCCAGGCATGTTTGCAGAGAGCTGGAGCAGAATCACAGCAGTTGGAACTTGAACTGGTGCTCTGGCGTGGGATGCTGGCGTCACAGTGGCAGCCTAACCCCCGTGCTAGAATGTCAACCCTTGTGCTTCTTTCTTTTTATTTTATGACTCTTCATTGTTTTTGCTTGATGAAAAAGTAGTGTAAACTTGGTATGAAAAGGCTCTAGAAAATTAGAAAAATAATTAGAAAATTAGAAAATACAGCTTTGCAGAAAAAAACTTCAGGTAAATATCTTTATTATAACTATCTCTAGCTAGTATGTGCATGCATATTTAATTAAAAGTGTTTTTTGCAAAAATCAGATAATACCATCTGAGTATAATATTAGGTGATTTGTTTTTTTCACTCAACCGAAGCTCTCAGTACATACTTAATTTCTAGACTCCTTTCCCCATGAAAGCATAAAGGTCTATCTTATTTTGTAACATTGTTTATTGTGTGTATTTACCTTAATTTATCAAATCAGTGATTTTTTTTTTTGACAAGCAGAGTTAGATAGTAAGAGAGAGAGACAGAGAAAAAGGTCTTTCTTCCGTTGGTTCACCCCCCCAAATGGCTGCTACAGCCAGCACGCTGTGCTGATCCCAAGCCAGGAGCCAGGTGCTTCCTCCTGGTCTCCCATGCAGGTGCAGGGCCCAAGCACTTGGGCTATCCTCCACTGCCTTCCCGGGCCACAGCAGAGAGCTGGACTGGAAGGGGAGCAACTGGGACAGAATCCGGTGCCCCAACTGGGACTAGAACCTGGGGTGCTGGAGCCGCAGGCAGAGGATTAGCCTAGTGAGCCGCGGCGCCAGCCAAATCAGTGATTTGACTGACAGAGTTTTCAGTGAGAACTGAGTTGTTTTTATTTTAAACGATGTGTTTATTTATTTGAATGGCAGAGTTATAGAGAGGCAGAGGCAGAGAGAAAGAGAGATCTTCCATCTGTTGATTCACTCCCCAGTTGGCCACAATGGCTGATCTGAAGCCAGGAGCCAGGAGCTTCTTTGGGATCTTCCACGCGGGTTCAGGGACCCAACCTCCTGGGCCATCTTCTACTGCTTTCCTGGGTCATACCAGAAAACGGGATTGGAAGTGGAGCAGCCAGGACTGGAACCGGTGCCCTTATGTGATGCCGGCACTGCAAGCGGCAGCTTTACCTGCTATGCCACAGCACCGGCCCCAGCTACTGAGTTTTAATTACAAATCTGCCACCATTTAATTGAGCACAGCTAAATTCCTTAATTTCTCCCAGGCTTCAGTGTCCTAACAAACAGTGATGGGTGTGGACCACAGATGACCTCCCAGTTTGACATTCTGGGACTCCAAAGTTTACAGGGCTGTTTAAGTTGTTCAACAGGTGAACCACCCAAACCTGTAGGCAAGTCTGGCACAAATAAAATAAAGTCAGTCCAAGTCAAAGGTAATTTGCTCTTTAGAGTCATTGTATGTAAACAGGGGTGGCCATATCTAACCTCCTGGTCAAGCCAAGTTCCATAGCTATGGAGTCCACACCTATTTGCTGTCTGCCATCAGATGTTGAAAACCAACAATA